AGAAAAGATTATTATTTATTGAGGCCGAAAAGGCAAAGAAACAGTGTGATGGAGAAGCTGGCCATCACTTTGTATCTGGTCTGTACAATGCCTTTTGCAGAAGGATGAAGAATGAATCTCCAAAGCTACAGAATTCAGATAAAGCAGCTGGCTTTTCAAGACCCCTGACTTTCACACTCCACTCTCTTTTCCCTCCCCCCACCCTCACCCCTCATTTTCCCTCCGCTCACCCTCACCCCTTTCCTTGTCTGTGTACCTCCTTTACGCTTGGTGCAGGTGCACGCACTCAAACGCACTCATAGATGTCGGCACAAGCCCTGGGAACTCCTCTCTCCTCGCAACACAGCGAGAGAAAGGGAAAGCTGCAGACCACAAGCCAGCTGCAGACCAAAAGCCTGTCGACTTCGTCACCAGGTTAGAAAGAAGGAAAGTTGCAACTTACTCCTCGCGGCTTAGAAGCGGACGGCGCTGCCAGTGTCGGCTTGGAAAAGATGCTTCACGCGCGACAGGATAGAATCTTGAGACGGGTCGTAGGGGTGCTCCTTGCTCGGAATTTCCAGAATTGCGGGGACGGGCTTCCGGTAGCTATCGATAGCGAAGCGAATCATATTAGCCACCTGCAATAGAATAGAACATGGCGCACACCGAGCAGATGTTAGGTCTTTTTCCAAACTCCTTTTTCCAGTTGATCTGACTGACTCCATCTACAATCTAATCATCTCACTACAGCTTGGCAATTCGCGCATTTCACTTTTAAGATAGGGGGGAAAAAGGGGAAATTTTTGAAATGCCCCTTTTGACTTTTACTTATTTGTGGTATGCCCCTCCAACGGCTGACTTACCCTGTCGTGCCCCTGGGGTCCCTGAAGTTTCCTGCAGGCCCCTGTCAGTGAAGGCACCTCTGAAGTTTCCTGCAAGCCCCTGACAGCGAAGGGTGCAACTTTCCAGCATGCCCCTGTGGCCGTTGGTGGCACTCATGGCCCTTCTCCTGCCCCTGGGAGGGGATCTACCAGGGCATACTGGAAATTTGGAACCGGTACAGTTAGGGGCATATTGAACATATATTTCAGGCCCAAACAACGCTACAGGTTTTTCGGAAACTTCAATCGTTGTCAGAGGGGCACGGCAGGGTAAGTCGGCCGTCAGAGGGGCATACCGCAAATAAATGGAAGTGGGAGGGGCATTTCAAAAACTTTCCCCCCAAAAAAGAAAATACCATACAAAAAAAAAAGAAGATACAGGAAGCAGCAAGCTACAGAAAATAGCAAGTTTCGGGCATCAAGCATCCAGGAAATAAGGTCTCCAAGCAAAAGCAAGTTGCCATCGTGCAGCCATTCGGAAGTCAGCCAGGCAAGGGAGAAGAAGTGACGCCTCCAGTATTAGCACGCAAGCGTGACATTCGAAAGGTCTGAGAGGTTGGCAGGACTGTGAGGCCCCTTCAGTATTACCAATGCCATGCATCCTCTGAAGCAAATTTCCCATCCAGTTGATGCTTCAAATGGGACCAAGCCTTGCCCAGAAAGGCGAGCAGCCGTAGCCGAGAGCTTCACCGTTGCGGGAAAGGGTCAGGCGACTCAGGCCAAATCAGTTGCACTGCCTCCATAAGCAGGCCCTGCCCTACCATTGTCACCCAAATAGAATGCCAAAGTCCTTACAGTTGTACCTTAGACCGAATGCTGGCCCCAAATACAGCTATAATGCCCAGGCGTTCTATTCGGGTGAAGACCATAGCTATTGAACAATTTGGACACACTTGCGAATGGAAGCGGCAAAACTGCTCGACTGCCTTCTTCCCTCAATTAACTCTGGAGCTGCCTGAATAAAGCCAGGGAAGGTGTGCTCCCTCCTTTTGGTTGGGCTTCTGGCTATGCTGAATGACCACCACCATTGGCACTTGTTTCTGAGAAGCTGATACACGCACGGTAAGGGAAAATACACGCTTGACCTGCAGAGCCTCCCTCAGGCCCATAGAGTAGTGTACATATGTTCAGTTAGGGCTTTGCAAGATTGAATCTTTGTTGCTCGAGGGAGAGCTCTGCATGGTGGGTGCTTAGCAGCTTGAGCTCTATTTTTGGTAGAAGGTCGTTTGTGTACGCCATGGCACTCACTGTTTTGACTTTCAGTGAACATATATACTACCACCTTCACCAGCCTGGTCATTATAGCGATAAGACGGAAATTTCCCCCAAATACAGCTATTATATGACTGGCCATTCCATTCGGGTGAAGACGGTAGGTCGCTGGGGCAGAAAGGGTGAGGTGGGAGGGGGAGGCTATCGGTCGCGATTTGCGTTTCTGCGCAGGATTCTACTCCAGATACCAAGTTGTTGATTCTTGGGACTGGTTTCTGGTTCATGTACTTTGTCATACTACCGTCTTCATCCGGATGGAGCGCATGTTCATTATCACTGTAACTAGACTGAAAATTGCCCTAAATACAGCTATAATGACTGTGCATTCTCTGCAGGTGAAGACGGTACTGAGGATAACCAGAGTTGTTTGCTGAAGTGGCCGAGAACGAAAATCGGCGAGAAGAGGGTTTGATTCTCTGTTTCCAATCTGGCCATCTCCAACTACCTTGCTGCTTCTCTGTTGCGAGTACGGCTGATCGGCGATTGCTGCCAGTTGGCTGGCACGTGCATAGGTCATCGTTGTAGCAGAAACCGTTGTCAATCTGCAGCTCCGTATAACGGCAGGTGATTGTGCAGAATGCACGAAGGCATGTGAATTGTAGCAAAAGACTGCTCGCTCCTCTAACATATGGACCCTGAGCATCCATCAGATATCGACACCAGGCGGTGGGAAACCACCCCTCCAAAGGATCAGAATAGTGCAACTATCGTTTCCGCTACAGCATCTAGCAGACTGCATTAAAGCACCGGTACATGGGCACCTGGACCGTGGGTCTGACGCCTCAAATTCTGGAGGCGCGAAGCGAAAACGAGGCCGCCGATCTAATTAATCAACGGCGGGCCTGGCGTTTGACATTTCGGCCTCGTTTACTTGTGGCGATAACTTTCGGACTGCAAGGCTGGGGCCGTGTACTTGTGGTTAAAACATCCCACACCTGCAAAAACCCCTATTCTCCAATCACCAGAACCATCACCCAGTTCCACTGCTACTTCAAATCCAGGGGATGACTTGTGTGTGTGTGTGTGTGTGTGTATTTGTGTGTATTTTATAAAATCAGTGCTTACATCACCTGATACAAATACTTAATTTCAAAACTTTGTCCCCAAACTTTTATTCCAAAACCTTATTCACAAATTTCACATCCATGTGTCCAGCAAACAGTGCCGGACGCAGACATCAACTGACCCCAAACTATGTTACCAGACGTCCGATCAGCGGACGTCCAGTAGACCCATTGTCTGGGATCCCGGACGGGTTTTTCGGCAATTTAAAGAAAAGGAAAAAAAGGGGGGGTTCGTGCAGTCCCGTAAACAAAATTTCAGATCATTTGGAATAAATCAAAAGAAAAGAAGTAAAACATGTCCGGGGGGTTAGGGTGGGTGGAGGGTCCACACACTTCGCGCGCGCACACAAACACACACACACACACACAAACACACACACACACACACACGTGCGCTCGCACGCACGATTCAATCGAACAAATTGATTGAATTGATGCAATCGATTCAAATCCAATCGATTGGATCGATTCAATTCGTTCTCGCAATTGAATCATCCAATCAATTCAATCCATTTGAACCGATGGGATTCAAACCGAGCCTCTGTGTGTGTGTGTGTGT